GGAAGGATGGAGGATGCACCCTTAGATGCTGATGAAGAAAGATGGAGGATGCACCCTTAGATACTGATGGGGAAGGATGGAGGATGCACCCTTAGATGCTGATGAGGAAGAGACATGAAACTTGGAAAGAAAACTTAGATCTTTTCAGAATGAGTCACCAATGGCATTTCCTCCACGCCAAATTGCCATTGGTTTCTTCTCTCATTTCCCTGCCTTTTCCACACAGGAAGGCTTTCTTGTCTAGTGAGCATGATTTTTCCTGTGCCTTATATATAATTTCTTTGTAGATAATCTTGTGGTTTAACCCCCTCTCCTTAAGAACCTTCCAAATTAATTGTATTTCACTTGTATAGTTGCTTTGCTGGTGTGTTTGTGCCTGCACCACGTGCTTGCCTGGTGTCCACTGAGGCCTGAAGAGGGCATCAGATCCCCTGGAGACTGAAGTTACAGGTGGTCATGAACCACCCACAGAGTTCAAGTGTTGGGACTTGAACTCTGGTCCTCTTGAGCAGCCAAGTGCCCTTAACTGCCGAGCCACCTCAACAGTCTAAGTTTTCTTTTCTAAGATGAAGCCTTATAATCCAACGAGGCTGACTGTGAATTCCTCTCCCCCCTGTTTCAGATCGTCTCCAGTCTGGGACTACAGGTGTGCACCACCACACCCACTTTGTATTTCAGTTTTTATATATGTAACTACTGTTTTCATTTCATGGAATTTATATTTGTAATGAAGTCATATAAAAAATGGGGGTTAGAAAGATGGCTCAGCTGTTGAGAGCATTGACAGTTAATACACAGGATCTGGGTTTTGTTTCTGGCACTTACACCATGGTTCACAACCATCTGTAACTCCCATTCCAGGGGACATGGTGCCCTTTTCTGGCTTCCAAGGGCACTACGTGCACATGGTGCACAGACATACATATAGGCAAAATGAATGTAAAAGTTAAAAAATAAACAAGTACATGCTTGTGTTAGGGGTTGAGCATGCTCAGTGATTGAGCATCTGTTTAACCATGGCCTTGGTTAACTACACAACCAGATAAAACAAAAAAATAAATGGCTTATTAATATTCTGAAATGACTAGGTATTGTGGTTTACTTCTTTAGTCCCAGTTCTTAGGAGGCAGGTGGATCTTTGGGATTTCAAGGCCAACCTGGTCTAATAGCAAGTTTCAGGCTAGCCAGGGCTACACAGTGAGACTTTGGGGGAAAAACCTTATCAGTATTAGAAGAAACGTGACTAGGATAAAGATATGGAGGATTGGAATGAGGTTTAGGGACCAGAGTGAAGTAAGGGAGAGTGACCACGAAAACAGAACCAATCTGAAGAGGCTCTGGCTGGCTAAAGATGGGATAGCTTGAGTGTCAGTTCACTCAGGTGCGATGCCTTGCGATACATAAAGTGTGCTTTATTCATAAAGGCAGTTTTGGTTTTGTTTCTTTGCGCTGGTTGTGATGGTGCTGGGGATGGAAGCCAGGGCCTCACATGCCACCCAGGCGCTCTACCACAGCCCCAGCTGCAGAATCCCTGGTGCCTGTTTCTCATCCCTCTTTAGTGGCTTCTTAACTGATCTTACTTCTCCGCAATGCAATATGCACATGTAACTAGTGATTCCAAAACATTTAACTTGGGTTTCATAGACGAGGCTCTCCTTAAGTAGCTTCAGTTGCTTGCAGGAATCTGAATTCAAGTAGTCAAATTTGGGAACAAATAATGCTAACTCCTTTGTAGCAGAGTCTGACTGTTGATCTACAACGGAGGCCCTGCTTGAGACTGTTCACAATGCCAAATAATAATAATAACAATAATAATAATAGCATAATATATCATATATTATATAATATTAGTAATATTTTGAAGATAGGTCTCATCAGGTAGCCTGGTTGGAACTCACTATATAGGCTATGCTGTCCCTGAACTCACTGAGACCCCCCTGCCTGTCTCCTGTGTGTTGAGTGCACCACACCCTTTTTATTTTCAATTATGTATGTGTGTTTGTTTTCAGATCTGGAAACCAGATATAGCAGTAAAGTGTTATTTGAAGAAAAGAATCCTTATGAAATTAATTTATCTCCATGGGAAATAATGGAAAGAATTAAAAGGCGTGGCCTCGGAGACTCCTTTTTTGGAAAAGAATTTGAATATAAAATGTTTAAAGAACAAGAGGGTTCTCACAGGGTATATTTCAGAGAAGTGACAAAAATTACCCCTGGAAAAAGACCTATGTATAGAAAACGCTCATCTGTTGGTCTCTATAAGAAAAATCATAACAGAGAAAAGCCCTATGAATGTGGGGAGTGTGGAAAGGCTTTCAGGGTCCGCCAACAACTTACTTTCCATCAGAGAATCCATACCGGTGAGAAACCCTATGAATGTAAAGAATGTGGAAAAGCCTTCAGACAGTGCGCCCACCTCAGTCGACATCAGCGAATTCACACATCTGATAAACCCTATGAATGTAAGAAATGCGCAGAGATCTTCACCTGTAGCTCAGACCTCCGAGGACATCAGAGAAGTCATATTGGCGAGAAGCCGTATGAATGTAAAGAGTGTGGGAAGGCATTCAGAGTTCGAGGACAGCTTAGTCTCCACCAGAGGATCCACACGGGCGAGAAGCCCTATGAGTGCAAGCAGTGTGGGAAGACCTTCCGGCAGTATGCGCATCTTACCCGGCATCAGAGGCTCAACAGTGCTGGTGTGTGCTACAAGTGTACGGAGTGCGGTCAGGCTTTCCTGTGCAGCACTGGCCTTCGGCTGCATCACAAACTGCACACAGGAGAGAAGCCGTACAGCTGTAAGGAGTGCGGGAAGGCCTTCCGGGTGCGGCAGCAGCTCACCCTCCATGAGAGGATCCACACGGGTGAGAAGCCCTTTGACTGTAAGGAGTGTGGGAAGACCTTCAGTCGGGGTTATCACCTCACGCTCCACCAGAGAATCCACACTGGCGAGAAACCTTACGAGTGTAAGGCGTGTCACAAGTTCTTCCGCCGTTACTCGGAGCTCATTTCCCACCAAGGTATTCACGTTGGGGATAAGCCGTATGACTGCAAGGACTGTGGGAAGGCCTTCCGACTCTTCTCACAGCTCACTCAGCACCAGAGCATTCATTTCGGTGAGAAGCCCTATAAATGTATGGAGTGTGGGAAAACATTCCGCCTGCTCTCACAGCTCACTCAGCATCAGAGCATCCACACGGGGGAGAAGCCTTATGACTGCAAGGAGTGTGGGAAGGCCTTTCGGCTCCATTCGTCACTTATTCAGCATCAGAGGATCCACTCTGGAGAGAAACCGTACAAATGTACAGAGTGTAAGAAGGCCTTCAGACAACACTCACACCTCACCTACCATCAGCGAATTCACAAGGATTCTTAAGGATTCTTTTAAGAATCCTTCCTTTGCAAATGTGTTAAGGGTCATTAGAAAATTCTAGAAGAAAAAGGTTTTAATCCTTTTTTGCTTCGTGCTCACAAGTAATGGCATACAAGATTTCAGTCAGAGGAAAAGGTGTTAAACTTTAGGAAATTCTCTCTAGAATGGAATTTCACGGAAGGAGTGGATGTATGAAAGCTATCTATACTGTATACCCGAGCGCATATCCAGGGCACCAACTCATTTTTAAAATCAATAAATAAAAAGAACTGTCTGTATAAGTTGTATCTCAGAGCTAGTGAAAGTTGTTGAGGTACAGTTCTTAGAGAATTTCAGCCAGAACATATAATAGCAACTCTAGAGCAGTGGTTTTCAACCTGTGTGTCACAACCCCTGGGGGTCAAACAATTCAGTAGCCAAATGACAGTTATGAAGTGGTAACAAAAATAATTGTATGGTTGGGAGTCACCACACCATGAGGAATTGTATTAAAGGGTCGTAGTGTTAGGAAGGCTGAGAACCACTGGGCTAGGGGTTAAGACCATTGAGTGGTAGACTGTCTTGAACTTGGTAGTGAGTAGGTCAGCCTGGCAGCATCTGAACCAATGTAGAATAATAAAGAATTCTGTGCCTTCTAGAGTGACAAACTACAACATTGACACTAACTAAGCACTGAACCTCTAACCCATACAGCCCTAACTTCCAATTTAGAGAAAATAAGGAAGAGAACAGATTACCTGGTAAAATAAGAAGCAGCGAACCTAAAATGTGGATGAGTCTACTTGGTTTTCAACCAGCAAAGTGACATTAAGAGAGGTAGTGCTTTTTGAATATTGAAAAAGACTTGAAAGACGTAGGTCAGATGCACTGGGATTTCTTAGATCATGAGTTGCGTGAACATATGAAACAAGACAGGAAGTTTGTAGAGGAAAGCAGTCACCTGAACTAAATCTGGAAATCCATGGACTAAACCTACATGATTTAATACGGTGTCACTAGCAACATGCTTAAAGTCCAGGTATTGTGGCCCCTCCAAATTAAAACAAGATTTAATTTAAAGTACAAGACTTTGAAGTCTTAGTTCCTGGCCCCTCCAGATGCACTCGGGGATGAGGCAAGCATGCTGTGATGTCAGCTCTGAGGATGTGGAGATGAAAGGACCTGTGGGGTCTACTGGGTAGCCAGTCTAGCTGAACCCAGGTTATCGAAAGACCCTGCTCAAAAAAAGTAAGGTAGGCAGCTAATGTCAAGTCCACCTCTGGCCTCTCGAATAGACACATGCATATAAACACAAAACTCCATCCTGGGAAGCAGAGGCAGGTAGATCTTAGTTCAAGCCAACCTAGCGTACATAACAAGTTCCAGACCAGCCAGGACTACAAAATGAGGCCACCACCACCAATTAAAAAAAGACTAAGTTAAAAAAGTATAATCTAGCCCAGGTCTTCACAATCCTTTTTGTGTTTTTAAAACTTTCTACATATTTAAGAGTGAAGTGAATTATGTTTGCAAACTTATGAACATTTTAAAAATTACTTTCTTAAAAGTAATAAAGACTGTTTAATGGGTGGTGATGTCAGACACATGATTTCCCTGTGACTGCTCTCGGGAGCTGTTTCTCTATACTGCGTCACACGAGTGATCTTCCTACCGGAAATGTAAAATAGAACCAAACTCAAATGTCTTTACTCCCAGCTAGTCCGTTTGCATACTGGGGTCTGCAAGGTATGGTAATCCAAAACTTCTCAAATAAAATTGAAACTTCATAGTATTTAAGACAAATTTACAGGAAACATACTGTTAGTGCTCTTCCTTCCTTCCTTCCTTCCTTCCTTCCTTCCTTCCTTCCTTCCTTCCTTCCTTCCTTCCTTCTTCCCTCCCTCCTTCCCTCCCTCCCTCCCTTTCTCTCTCTCTCTCTCTCTTTCTTTTTCTTTCTTTCTTTCTTTTCTGCCTTCCTTCCTTCCTTTCTCACTGTTCTCACTGTTCTGCCTCAAACTCACTGTATTTCAGCCTCAGCCTCCTCAGTGCTAAGATTACAGGCATGCATTTCCAAACTTGGCCACTGGGTGGTGCAGTTTTTAAAGGGTACTAGAGTTAAATTAGAATATTAAGTAATATGTATTAAAAATAGTACTTTTTAAACCTAATCAAAACAATGAAATAATTCAGATTTATTTGACTACTTAACCTAGTTATCACAAGTGCGCTTTGTCACTCAATGCCCGGGAGTGTGTAGGATATTAGCAATTACTAAAAACTGCACAAGTGAAATAGAAGACTGTAGTAGTGGGAAGGTGGACCTTATACCATCAATGCACATACAAGTCTGCTCCTGGGGTATGGCAGTCGGTTCCAGGGTCTGCACATTGGTCTTATGCTTTTCTGGAGCAATTAGAAGTTTGAACCCTAAGGAAAAACCCGTGCCTGGGCAATGATACAAATACATCCCCAAAGCATAATTCTGAGCAAAATAAGCAGATAGAAAACATGTTGGTAGAGTGCTCATCTAGTATGCAGGAAGTTCTGCATATGTGGCAGAGCGGCACATACCTAAAATCCCAGGACTTGAAAGGTGGAGGTAGGAAGATCAGGACTCCAAGGCCAGCCTTAGCCGCAGAGCAAGCCCAAGGCCAGCCTGGACTACATGAGATTCTGTCTTTTGTTTTTTCAAGACAGCCCTGGCTATCCTGGAACTCTCTCTGTAGCCCAGGCTGTCCTCGAACTCACAGAGATCCACCTGCCTCTGCCTCCTGAGTGCTGGGATTAAAGGCATGTGCCACCACCAGGCTAGAGACCCTGTCATAAAAAACCAAACAACCATATCTATGATTCCCTGTATAATAAGTAGGAAAAGCAATACCCTTTCTATGCAATTAGAAGGAAGGGTCGTGGTTGGGGTGAGGTGAGCTGCCCAGGAGCATTACTGATAGAAAAAGCACGGAGGTTCTGAGGACAGCAATGTCTTGTCACTTGGGTTGGGTGCTGAGGACAGAGGTATTCATTTGTGAGAATTTACACTGTACACAGGTTCTTCACTTCTCTGTATGGTTGTTGCACAACTAAAAGTTTTTAACTTAGGAAATGACAATGAGTTCATATTAATACTTCAGATTTATTGTCTCCATCTTAAACTTTATTCTTGTACCTTTATGGCAAAATTTTTGATTCTCTTATAATACAGTCATTGCTCTAGAAGATGCATGAAGTGCTGCAATGGAAAGTCAGCTTCACTAATAATCCTCAACAAAGCTGGTTTGCTTTGCATCACTGTTCTTAAATATTCCCGGAAGGGCCAATAAGATGGTTCATCAGACAAAAGCACGAATCTAGTAAGTCTGACAGCGTGAACCCCCTTAGAAGGAGACAACTGATCTGCAAGCTGTCCTTTGACCTTTGCCGTGGAGTGCACACACCCACACTTACACATAGGCATTGCAAACAGTACAAAAAAATCACTAAAACTGTAGCTGAGGCCTGGGGAGATGGACGGCTCTGTGGTGGCAACAGCACATGCTGTGCAGATGTGAGACAGGCTTCTCTGTGCAGCCCAGGCTGTCCTGGATCTCACCATCTGTAGACCAGGCTAGCCTCCAACTCACAGAGCTCCACCTTCTTCTACCTCCTGAGTGCTGGGATTAAAGGCGTGTGCCACCATCCCTCCATGATATTTTTTAAATGTGAAGCATTCCCATGGCTTTAAAGTTAAAACTAGGCTGAATATAGTGACTCATCTTTGTAATCCCAGCATTTGAGAGGTAGAAATAGAATTACTGTGAGTTCTGGTCCAATCTGGGCTATAGTGTAAGACTAGATCTCAAACAAATAGCCAGGTATGATGGCTCCCAGCTTCAATTCCAGAGCTTGGGAGACAAGGACAGGGAGATCTCTGTGATTCTGAGGGCATTTTGGTTTACACAGCAAGTTTCAGGCTAGCCCAAGCTACACAGTGAGACACTGTCTCAAAAAATATCCCTCCAAGTAAAAATTTAAAGAGGGGGTGCTAGAGATATGGCATATACCATTATTGCAAAGGACCCAACTGTGGTTCTCAGCACCCATGTTGGGTGGCCCACAGCCACCTACAACTCTAGCTCCAGGGGATCCCGTGCCCTCTTCTGGTCTCCATAGGCACTATACTCACATGCTCATACATGTACACACACACACACACACACACACACACACACACACACACACACACGTAATACAAGAAAATAAATAATAAAATTAAAGTCATAAAGAGTAACCTGTAACAATCTGTACCGCAACCAAACTCTTCTGTCAGTTCTGTAAAAGCCTTGAGAGATGCTCACTCCTGCTCCTACCCCTGGAAAGCTCAGAGCCTTCAAAGGTCTTCATTCCCTCAGCGGGAAAGATGGCTCAGCAGCTCACAGTATGCACTGCTCTTTCTTTTCCCTTTTGTTGTCCTTCCTTTGTTTCTTATTCTTTCTTCTGTTTTTAATTTATTTTTGGACACAGGCCTCACAATGTAGCTCCAGATGGCCTGCAACTTGTTCTGTAGATCAGGCTGATCTTGAACTCACAGAGTTCACCTGCCTCTGCCTCCTGAGGACTGGGATTATTGGCATTGAAGGGAGTAGGCAAAAACTCCTTGTCCTAAGTACTGTCATTTAGACTTCAGACCATTTTACATGTAGGGTGAAACAAAGTTCAAGTCCCACTGGAGTTCCCCTGGGAACTGTCCAGAAGCTAATCAACTACCCATCAAAGTAACAATCCTTGAAACATAATGCTTATTCCTAACAATGAAACCTAAGGACAAAAAAGAAGTGAATCTAATTGGTTGAACATTCTTTGCCTGTTGACAATGGAACTTATAAGGAAAGCCCTTAATTCCCGAATCCTGATTGGTGAAAACTGTAACTGTAACTTGGCACAGGTACGCTTATGGTTCTTTCTTTCTTTCTTTCTTTCTTTCTTTCTTTCTTTCTTTCTTTCTTTCTTTCTTTCTTTCTTTCTTTCTTTCTTTATTAATTTATTTATTTATTTATGGTTTTCTCAAGACAGCATTTCTCTGTGTAGCCCTGGCTGTCCTGGAACTCACTCTGTAGATCAGGCTGGCCTCAAACTGCTTCTGCCTCCTGAGTGCTGGAATTAAAGGTGTGCACCACCACTGCCCAGTGGTTTTGTGTTTATAAACTCTACTTCTGCCCCTGCTTAGGGCTGCCAGGAACAGCAGGCTCCCGAGTCCTGGTCCTGCAACCCTGATGGATCAGTGGCTCCACTTATATGGTGTCACTAGATTGGGACACAGCCTGGATGCTAGGAGGAGGGTATATAAGGCCTTCCCTGTTACTGAATAAACGAGTCTGCTGTTTGCCTTCACCTGACTCCCAGTTTCTGTATCATTGACACCATGCTTTCTCCCTCCCTCCCCTGAGGGAACCATTAGGACCAAGCAACATCTGGCACCTGAATGTGGGGCTCCTGTTACTTTTTCTTTCCCAGTGAAAGTTCTGATAATCTCTCTCCCTTCACTCACAGCACTGGACAGTGCCCCCAAGACAGTGTGTTTTGGTGAGAAGTGTTGTGTTCTTTTGGTCCCTTTGGCAGGTAAGCATTGGGACCCCCATTTCTTTCCTTCTTTTGTGTTGTCTGTCATGTTTGTCTGCCTGTCCTGTTAGGAAGGCATTTTTTTTTTCTGTTTCAGTTCACCCGGCACCTCCACATAAGGACTGCTCCCCCTCCAGGTGGAAGGAAGGCTTGGCTCCCAAACACTGTCCCTTGTCCCGTGACACCATGTGGGCATATGGCCATAGCCTAAAAACCACAGAAGACACAGCACAAGACATAAGGGTCTGACACAAATTTCCACCCCTGTTGACTGTCATCCTCTCTCTGACTGTTGTTTGCTTGCAGTTTCCCTCTAAAAGATGGATAATCTTTTTATCACCCCACCCCTTCCATGTGGGATATCTCCACAATATCTGATGAGGAGACAGACATTTTGGGCCCCGAGGTATCTGTCAAGGGGAATGCAGCTGTCATTAAGTCATGCGCTGCTTCCCCCTGCTCCACCACCACCGTGGGTGGCTATGCCTCTGCTGAGATATTCGGGTGATCTACCCCAGCACCTATCTGCCTCAGGAGGTGGCTACTCTCCCGTGGTGCCAGGTGTCTTGCAACCCTTACAGCCTGCACCACTGTCAGTCCGTAGGCCCAGAGAAGCCTCCCCAGTCAACGTGGGCCCAAATGCCTATGCCCAGCCCTGGATTCCCACCCACATAGCTGAACTCTCCCTCATCTAGAAGGCAGCCAATGAGGCAGGCCCAGATGCCCTCTGCTTTCAGCAGGTCCATGCAGTTACAAACTTATTTTGATTGTACCATTTGCTTAAAATGTATTGGAGCCTGCAGTCTTTCTCAGTTGGAGATCAGCCTGTGATGATCAGGCAGAATCTGAAGCCTGGACAAATATCTTACTTAATGTCCTGGTGACCTATGACATGCTCACAGGACATGGGGAATATGTCCATACTGTATACCAGGCACAGATTGGCTTGAATGCCTATTTTCAACAGGCCTTGGACCTGGCCCTCAAGGCCCCCA